TCTTGTTTTTCGTTTTTCTACATCGTTCGGCCTTGAAACATTTAATTGCACTAGTACTATGAAAATTTATGTTCATTTCCAGTATTGTAACTATAAATTAGATATCTCAATAGATGTCTTAGTGTTATTTTTAATAAGTAAAACGCTGTTTACATCAAAACGGTTTATTTAGCAAATATTGTAATTAAATAAAATAAGGTTTGTTCAATAATACATTTATTGTTGCAAACTAATAGCATTAGTGTTATTTTAAGTTCATTTCCAGTATTGTAACTATAAATTAGATATCTCAATAGATGTCTTAGTGTTATTTTTAATAAGTAAAACGCTGTTTACATCAAAACGAGGTTTATTTAGCAAATATTGTAATTAAATAAAATAAGGTTTGTTCAATAATACATTTATTGTTGTAAATTAATAGCATTTATAATAAACACAGCCTATGAACAACAACAGATAAGTATTTCAAATAACAACAATACATCAAAGACAAAATTAAAAACACATACTTTATTTATTTAAATAATAAAGAATGATAATACAATGAAAATACATTTATTATTTACAAATATAATTTACATTTATTATAACAAAGTACAAATTTATTTCAAATAACAACAATACATCAATATAAACAAAATATCTAAGATATAATACATTCTAACGACTTATAAAAGTTAAAAATAAAATACCTGTAAGAGAGACAAGAAAATCAATAAAATTTCAAAGAAAATACAATTATTATACATAAACTGTCATACCATTATTATTTAAATGCAAGATTAGGGAGAAAAAAGCCTCCCTAACCTTCTGTGGCCTCCGCATCTCCCCTTATAGCCACCCTATCCACCCAAACGAACATTAATTTTGAAAGCGTAAACAAATAATTAATTTAATTAACAATTATGCCAAAAAATCAATTTAGAAACATTTTAAATATCAACCTAAGTTATGATTATAAAGATATAACAGTTTATGCAGTAAAAAACAAAATACCTGTAAGAGAAAGACAAGAAAACACATGAAATTTCAAAGAAAATACAATAAAAAGCAAACAATACGATGTCTTCAGTCTTCTTCGGTTACCTGAAAGCGAATAGTGCAATTACAAGGACTAACGACAAATACTAATAGCTTTGGTAGAGAAGATCGGACAGATTTCGCCAAGGCAAGCTGGGCAGTCGCCTATTGCTCCTATTCCAGATAACCCACTGTACCCTGTCTGAAAGGAAGTAACGCTAGAGTAGACTCGCGAAAAGTGTATAAGACACTTTTAAGATCAACTAAATAGCTAAGCCCAAGGGAAGTCGTTCGGGGAGGCCCTCCCTAATTCCACAAGGGTGAGAAGAAACACACACGATAACGAAACGTTGAATCATGTAGAACTCGTAGGGTAAATGCAAAGCAAATTAGGAAGAATATGCAGTAAGCTAAGCGAAGAGGTAAGCAAGGTTAGACTGTACTACAACTATTAAACGTGTTATTTCTACTACCACATACAAAAAAAAATAAAAACATCTACAATCAACAATTACTTCAAATTAAATGAACAAAAATGAGCATGCAAAATAAAAACTAATTTAAATAAACTACAAAAAAACATGCATAATAAAAAAACTAATTTGAATAAAATGAACTTGAATTCTATTACATATAGCATGCAAGATAGAGAACTGTTTTAACCAAGGGGTCATCTTTGTCTTCTCCAACGTCGATCTGAAACAGATACGGTGGTAACAGATTAATAAGGAGCAATTAAAATTAATTATATCAAGTATTCTCACCTTAATTAACTGTAGACCATAATGTTCCAAAGTTTGCAGGTGTGAAAAGCAAAGCAAATCAAATCCAAGAGGAATTCCAATGCAGAAAATTTCTTATTTCAGTGGAATTCACATAAATCTTCAGTTGCTCTCACTCATCACTTGAAAATTGACTGTATAATGTTGCAAGGTGAAGACGAAAACAGCAAATCAAGAATGTAGTCCACCAAACATTGTAGTCATCAACCTGAACTTTAATTCTCTCCCATTTGTCAGACGATCTGGAGAGATGGACAAAAAATGGTATTAGTTACACAATTAATTAAAAAATGGATTTAAATTAAGTAAAACATGCACAAAGACGCAAGTAAAACACCTAAATTATAAAATGGTGACGAGATGTCAACTTTATTCATTGTTCATGTCATAGATAAACGTTAAAGGCAATAGAAATAACCGCAGATGCATGATGTCAATTTATACACTGGACAATAGATAGTTAAAAGAGAACCCCATAGATACACGATAACATCGATTTATGCTGTGAACAATAGATAACTGTTAGAAGTAAAACCATTGATGTTACAGGTGGCAAATTACTATGAAAACTGAGCAACTTCAAAACAATTAGCTCACCTAGACGATCACTATACGTGCTCGAGTTTTATTCCATGTGCTCACAAAAGAGAAATGCCTCTTAGTAGTAGATGCTGATGAACGGAAATAAGTGAAATAAGCCACATATCGCACCGCAACCTTCCTTTTATGCATCAGTGTAATTCGGATTGCATATATTTTCTGGAAATTGCACTTTCACGCCCAAGGGGAGGGAAAATTAAAGGGCTCCACTTCTCTAGGCTTTGAGTTCTTCTTATTTTCTGTCTCCTTGTTCATTTAATACGTTTAAATGCATCCTGATGAAACAATATTATGTTAGTTTCATTTTAAATATCATGTTTTACAATATTTAAGAACCATAACTTCCACCAGCTATTACAATTCACAAGTGTAAAAGCTAATAGTGGTAATTATTGTCAAACAAATGCAGTAATAGATTTGGAAAATCGCATCCATTTCATAAATACAACTTCATAAAATATTTAAAGATTTCTTACCCTTTCCAAGCTCAAGAAAAACAAGCGTGATTGGGGTTCTGCTTCCTCACGTTTCGTGGCCATTTGATTTATCTTCTCCCTGTACATTTATTATGATTTAATGGAAACCTGTTGAAACAATTTAATATTAGTTACATATCCACTAGATTTTTTATTTTTATATTATTAATGATAATTACCACTGTTAGCACCCTGTATCCTATGAATTTTTTGACCAGCTCATTAGAGGCATTCATGGAAATAAAAATACGTCTGATTGCCACAAATATGTAAGTAGTGTTTGTCCATCGTATCCAAGGATGTCATCTCAAAGCAAGTCTATAGTACAGAAAAAAAAAGTCGTTAAAACCTAATCTAATTTCTTAAAGGAAATTTGGAATTTTAAAAGCAGAACAATAGCATTAAGAAATGTTTTACATATTTTGGCTATGAAACGAATGCAATCTTCGCGGCGTGGTCACATCAATATGAAAAATCCAAATTCATCGCCTAAACGTGTACTAAAAATTTAAAAATTCTAACAAAACCCTAACTATTCAAATTCCATTAAACTATAATTTATAAAATTCACATTAGATGAGTACAGGCAAAATGCCACGGCAGACTCGATGTTGGAGCACGAAACCAACACGCCACCGAAGTTTTTCATGACAAAATGTATCGACGGAGCGGGTAATTGAAACCAATTAATTACTAAACTGAAACGCATTCCACACAATAAATCAAATGAAAATTGAATAAAGATTAGGGCTAAATACTTTCAAGCGTCGTTTCCATTTATGCATAGCAAAAATGGTGGTTCATCGTCTTCGCAAGGACCGAACACAATTGAATGACAAGATGAGTGATGAGACGACAGACGAGTCGGAAGACCTATAGATGAAAGTTCTTTCTATACCTATCATAGATACATAATACATTTTATAGGTGCCTTCAGTTATACTACTGCAGTTCAATTAGTAAATTAGAAACTGATCCACCTAAATGACATCCTGTTGAAATAATTTAACGTTAGCTTTATATTTTNTGAAATAATTTAACGTTAGCTTTATATTATGTTTTACTATATTAAAACATCTACCAAACAAATAACTGACTATCAAACTCAATAGATAATTACTACAATTCAGAAATGTGAAAAATTAGAAAGTTTTAAAACAGTAACTATTATCAAAAAAAAAACAAACGCAATAAAATATTATGAAAATCACAAATCAATTTGCAAATATAATTTGATCAAATAATTAATGATATCTTACCATTTCCACAAATGGTTTCTTTCCACGCCCAAGAGAACGAAGCGAGTGGGGCTCTGCATTTTAATTTTATTCACCTGATTTGTTATTATTTTATTGTTAATGATAATTAACTTGAATTTAATCTACTTCAATCCTTTTTATTATTTTCTATTGAAAACATTACATTATGAAGGAATGCCAAGTACGTCAAAGATCGACTCGGTATGCCAGAATGTACTTGTTAATAATATATATAACTTTAAAGCATCATATCATGCTGATGAAGGGCAATTTATATCAATATATTTTTTATATGATTTTATCTTTAAAATGACGCTGATTTCGCCATTTAATTGTTATAAACAAAATAGCTGCGAATAAAAAAAAACGTTAACTTTCCTCAGGAACTTTTTTACTAGAACATGAATGATTGTCTGTAATTGGCGAAATTAACTTCGTTTTCTTTCTTTACAAAAACAGACGATATTAACTTCTTAACACACATGAATGATTTTACTTTGTATTTTTGTTTATAAGATAGAAGTTGATTGCTTCGATTTTCGTCTAATAATTTTGAGACCTCGGTTAAATCAGTTCTTTCGCCATTCAATTGTTCGTTTAGTTAAACTATTTTCGGTTGTTAACGGTTTTTCGTGAAAACCCGCCTGTTTGCTTCTGAAAACTAACTCAAACGGAGTATATTTGGTTATACGATGTACGCTATTGTTAATACTCCACTGGACCTTATAATTTTTCATCCCACAACCTGTCCCCTGATTCGCAATCCGTGCTAGTAGATAAGCACAAACGTATTATTTTATTTAAACGCTCTATCTGCCCATTTCCTGTAGAAGTTCCCGCCGCGAATTTTAACATGGATTATATTAAATTGCTGGCAAAATTCCTCGAACACGATCGGTATATGCAGTATCCCGATCGGTAATTACGTGAAACGGTTTTCCATAATGGGATATGAACTCTTGTAAAATTTTACGCGCTTCATACGCACTCGTATCATTCACTGCTTTCAAAATCGTGTATTTAGAAAACCCATCAATTATACCTATTATGCAAGCGTTTTTAGAATCGGTTTTTACGAACGGGCCTAAACGGTCAATATGTACGATGTGAAAACATGAAGTCCCCTTTTCTAGTGGATCCGGTTGAATCCTTGTGGTACAAGCAACTTATACACCGGTTTATGTATTTTGTTGTGAATTCTCTTAATTTCGGGAAATAAAAACATTCCTTTGTTTATTGACCGTTCTATCAATACCCAAATGACAAGGTTCTTTATGAGTTTCACTGACTATATCATAGTGTAAGTCTTTAGGTACATACAAACGAAATATACGCCCACTATGCAGAGTAAACTGTTTATGGGTTTCTAAATCACCTTCCTCCAATTTTTTGCTTATTTCTAAAATTTCAGGATCCGTTTGTTGAAAAGCAGCAATCCAGTCCGTCGTTATGTTAATATGGTGAATCGGGAAGCTTATAATCTCAGGTTCCACACCGTTTTTCACAGGATATCGTCTTAGTGAATCTGCAACGACGTTGACCGATCCGATGTGATGTTCAATTGTATATTGGTACTCCGAAAGTCGTGTAAACCATCTGCCTATTCGGGGGTTAAGATCGAGTTTGCCCTCTTATAATCTTAAGCTATTACAGTCGGCTTTAATGACAAAATGTATACATATCATACAAACCTCAAACGTTTCTATCGAACAAACTATAGCCAAGGTTTCAAGTTCGTACGCGTGATACTTACATTCATTCACAGTGGTTTTGCGACTAAAGAAACTGATAGGATGTATTTTTTTATCGTTTTGTTCCTGATACAGGACACGGCTCAGTCCAACCTTACACGCGTCTATATGTAATTCTGTCTTTGCGTTAGGATTGTATATGCTTAAGACTGGTTCACTTACTAATTTGGATTTTATTTTCTTCATTGATTTTTGTTCAATGCCGGTCCAAACAAATTTCTTGTCTTTCTTTAAAACTTTAGTTAATGGATGGATAATGGTTGCGAAATTTTTTACGAATCATCTAAAGTAACTCGCTGATCCTACGAAACTACTCTGTTGATATCGGAAAGTTCACAATACTATTGAAGTTAGCTTTACCTGGTGAAATACCATCCCTATTGACTTCAAAACCTAGATAATCAATTTCCTTAACAAAAAACTGGCATTTATCAATTCTTAGGGTTAAGTTATTTTCACGTAAGGTAATTAGAACTTGAAGTAAATTTCGCATGCCTTTCTCTTTTGTTTCGCAAATATGCCATTGCGATGGTATATTTAAAACTACCCAAAATTAGATTGATAAATTTTTGAAATACAGATGGAGCGTTACAAAGCCCAAAACTAATGCGTTTAAATTGATATTAGCCATCTGAAGTAACAAACGCAGTTTTGGACTTTGAACTCTCTTCCATCGGTATTTGATAGTAACCGCTCCGTAAATTTAGCGTTATAAAATACTGCTTACCATGGAGCAGATCGAGCTGATCATCTATACGAGGAAGAGGATAACGGTCCTTTTTCGTGATACGATTCAATGTCTTGTAGTCTACACATAGCCTGAAATCTCCCGTTTTCTTCCTGACCAAGAGGCAAGGGTTATAGCGAACGGTGAAGTTGATTCTTCAATTATGTCCGCATCCTTTAAGTCTTTCACTATATTGTTCACTTGTTTGCCGATAAACGATATGGTTTGTAATATACCGGGTTACACCTAACTGTCGCGTATTTCGCGCAATTACGTCTTTAAATTTGTTAAATAGGTCCAGGAGATTTTCCGCGTCTTCACCTTTTAGATCAGATTGTATTTCCTCACTTGTCACTTCTTTTTGATTAACTTCACGATTCGGGTTTGCACTATTTTCTTCACAGTTTACTTCGTCGCAGATTTCACCCCGCGTAATAACACTCCCGTCTGTGATTTTTAACTCGCTTTCGGCTAAATTTAAAACTTCTAACACAGATTGTCCTTCATTATCGGTCGTTATGACACATCTCGAGATCGCATGCTCTGTTTTCCTAATTCCACCTTCAATATATAGGTCGTAATTTGTTACGTCGGATTTTACCTTGATACGACCAACAAAATTGGTTGGTATTGTGGTCGTTTCTGCTGCTCTTATTTTATCACTTTTGCTGGTTCGTATGGAATCGTTTCACCTGAATTCTGGATTTGCTTATGATTATAATGTGTATTTGTTCAGTAAACGGATGCCCAACGAGTAACGAGACCGTTTGTAATTCATCAGGCACAACGTGAATTTTGACTTTGGCGGAAACATCGTCGATTGTTAACGTAGTAGTAAATAATCCAAAAGGTTTAACTATTCACTTGCCATACCCAACTAACAGTTGTGGTTCACATTCATAGTAGGAAAAACTAAGTTTCCTCGCGTCCTGCTCACGCATTGTTACACAACTGCTTGCTAAGACAATGTAACACCTCAAACACTTTCTATTCACATATGCATCTTTAAAATATTTTGAATGGGTTCCCTTTTTTCTTCATTAATTTGTATAACATTATTGTTTTTATTAGAACTGCTCGCATTGTTGTTGTTAGTCACTGTATTTTGTCCTCTGTTTAGATATTTAGCAGGACAATCTCTTGCGTGTCCCTCATTAGAGCATTTAAAGCACTTCACAGCACGATGTCGACCTTTTCCAGAATCTTGTGCAACTGGCTTGCCACTGAATTTATTTTGAAATCCAGATGCATTGCCTTCTGGTATTGTATCAAAATTTCGATTAATATCTTTGGATCCAGCTTTCGAATCTTGCAGTAGTTGACTTGTTGTTTTATACCTAAGCAGTGGTCCTAGATAATCCCTGAATCTTTTACTATTTAAACCGTCCACAATCCACTCGATGGTTTTGGCAGTGGTCATATCACACCTGTTGCATCTCGCTAATTTTTCAAAGAAATATTCGGTGATATTCTGATTACCTTTCCAACGGTAATTTTGCGCTTCAAATCTTCAAGTTATTGCGCTATCAGATGTTTTCCAAAAGTTTTCCTCAAAAGTACCCTTCACTCATATCAGGTTTTACTTGCGTCGGGGCTTAGACTGTGAAGCCAAGTTTTCGCTACTCCAGTTAATTGTAACAATCCGTAATGTTTAATGGTAACTTCATCCCATTCATACAATACGTACTTCTTGATTTTACCGATCCACTGTTCAATAGAAATGTTGCCTTTGATAGAATCAAATTCCGGTAAAACATGCTGAATATTTGGAAAAAATCGCTGACCTGTTTCTCGACACTCACTACGTTATGGTCTATTAGTACGAATCACTCTCTACGCTCACAGATCAACACTAAGATCCGTTTCTAATAAATAATCCCGGAATTTAACGAAAACTACCACACACGAATACTTTGGATTTTGTTAATACCACACCACTTCTGAAACTGTTGCAATTAGAAATAACCAAACGAGAGGAGTTTATTTTATAAGTTTATTAAAATAATTCATGCACACATAAATTATCCTGTTTTTTATTATTTTCTTATGCATCTGGTCAGGAAATCAGGAAAACTAAAAAAATGTCTCAGACCACATGTTAATTTCCTCCCCTGGTAGTAGGCTCTATTTCCTCCATATTTAATAATCACGTTCATCGAGAAAAAGACCGCAAAATCTTTCGATTAGAACAAATTATTTTAAATATCAGTATCAGACTATTTATGACTACCCGTGAGAGGTGTACCATTAGCAGGGGCGCAACAATGTTACAGTTTGACTGGGTGATCCCATCATAATACTATAAATGACTAAAAGAAAAAGGTCACCAATGTATTGAATTTCTTATACTTAAAAAAATCGAGTTCGGCTGCTCATTTACGAGCTTGAACTATTTAAACCGAACTTTTAAGTTGGGTTATTACCTGAATCGACTGGAATTGACTGGGTGCTCAACCCCATTGAGTGGGTGCCCGGTCACCCGTGGACATCCCCTTGTTGCGCCCCTGACCATTAGTCTTGATGTCTGGGTTACCGTCTAACTGATAAGAGTTTGTTCGGTAGCTGTATGAAATGATTCCTACTTTTCACAGTGTATTTCTTATTATATTATTCAACTAGCGACCCGCCCCAGCTTCGCACGAGTGCAATACTGATACTAAATATATATATTTTTTTGTTTAGATTATTCTCGAGGAGGGGAAATCTTCAAAAGGCACCCCCTGAACATATTAAATATACTACAGAATGTCTTTATATACAACATTTACAGCTTTTTTGTCATTAGACAATACAAACCGGCCCCCCGGTAAAATATTCATTTAAATTACATGCTGTAAAGGGCCATATTAATCTATATTAAATGCACAATGTATTTAAAGTACTTAATTGGATAAGAATTAATGCTGTATTGCTTAAAATCGCTTCGTAAATAAGCCATTATTTCTCATAAAAAGTAAAGGATAAAAAATGGTTATTGTGAATTATCCCTAAGAGATAGACATATACCATCGCGGACTTTTTGTAGACTTTTTTAAAATGTAGGGTTCAGTCAGCGTTTGCAATGTAAGTCCAAAAAAATGTGTTTATTTACGAACCTCTAAAATTATTAGTGTTTTTCTACTATATTATGCATGTATTATACATATAAACCTTCCTCTTGAATCACTCTATCTATTAAAAAAAACGCATCAAAATCCGTTGCGTAGTTTTAAAGATCTAAGCATACATAGGGACAGATAGCGGGAAGCGACTTTGTTTTATACTGTGTAGTGATATCAATATTCATTCTACATTCGAAATTGTAAGCATAAAGTTGTTCACAAATTATTTTAATAAACTTATAAAATAAACGCATGTCGTTTGGTCATTTCTGATTGCAACACGTTATATAACGTAAACTTAATATTCCGGATAAACATTTTTAATTTTCCTTCAATGTATGTGTCATAGCCCATCTGGGAACACCCCTAGCTAAATTCTTTTTCGGTCAAAAATTCTACGATAATATGCAGTAGATAGATAGAATAAATGCTACTATTTCCTTTTCAAAAGAGCTTAATAAAAACAGAAATACCTATTATTGTTGTTATCAATTCATATAACAAAAACTACGTTTTACAATTGTAGGCATTTCTATAAAATTGCACTGTTTAATTCGTGAAATTGTAAATTCATTTTTAAATGAAATCTATTTATTCTTAACGAAGGAATTCAAGATTCTACTCAGTGTATTTTCATACAAACATAGAAGTACATGTTTTTTATTTCTGGAGACAAACAGCCAAGGTGACCTATGACTGAATGATGCGATTATAAAAAAGGCGATTAAAGAGATTAGAACGAATAGACAAACAGATCATTTGGAGAGAATGTTATGGTTGTAAAATTATTAAAATAAAACATGCTTTTTAAAAATGAAAAAGTAAATTGTAGAATTTAAATAAATATGAAAGAAAAAAAGATACATTGGATAAAATCCTTTTTAACATAAAATATAAGATTGTGTAAAATAAAATTCACAATTCAACAACTGATTTAACAGTATTAAAATGAGAGTGAGAAATTTTCCTCAATTTTTTTTGTACGCACCGCAAAATTTTTCAAAAGGTTTGCTAAATATTTTTTATCACATACATATGTACAAAAGACACTCCATTCTACTGATTAAGGAGCATCTTCTTGACCATTACTACTTTATTACATTTTTATACTCTCATCTTCCTTAATAACGGAGTTTAATTGATAAATAAACATCACAGATTTCTCCAACAAAGCTAACAGTTTTTTGTCAGCATTTCTAACTCTTATCAGAAGTCGTTTAAAAACTGTAATGTACAGTGCACAACGTAAAAATACCTAGTTTGAACAAACTTCCAAAACAATGAAAAACATTGATTTACATCAGCATTGTTTAGTGTTATGTAATCACATTTATTTTATTGGACTGCATTCGTACCAAATAAAGTTAGATGTTTTTATTAATATCGAGAAGTTTAGTTGCTTATAAATTTTGATTCACACTGTAACATTTCTACTTTTATTTAAGATTATTCGTCGTTTATATAGGCAACTTGTTGTACTGCAGAGTATTTTAATCGTTAATGTAGCAATAGCAGCTTTAATTCGTTATTAAGGACTCCGTATTGAAAAAGAGGGTTTAAAATATTCACTAAAGTTTTTTCCACTTAATTTTAGTTTTCTACAACTACTTTATTACACTTAACAAGCTTCAATTCGTTTAATAAGGGATAAATTAATTTATCAAGAAATAAAAACGAGCATTCCATACGATAAACTTATTTAGATAATTAATAACTTACCACTTACCATTAACGCAAGGGGTAAAGTGTATAATTTTGACTTTTATTATGTACACTGTATTATATACATATTATTCTTGAGAGATACAAATCCCTACCTGTCGAATTTACTAAAATTAACAAAAATACATTAAATAGACCGAATTTACAATTTCTGATTTATATTCAGGGTTAAAAGTGCACCCCGGTGGTTTAGAACTATAAAATTCTTTTAACTGATGCCTTACAACTGCGTTAATACATTTTGGACTTTGGTACTTTCAGCTGGTTGAATAAGTGACAAATGAAATAAAAATGGCGTTTTCAGTTAAAGTAGGGGTTAAAAAAACACCCCGATGATTTCCAATTATAAAATTCTTTTAATTGACGCGTCTTTAATATATATTCGTACTTACAGTTGAAGGGAGAAATTAATTTATCAAGAAATGAAGACGATGCTATGTTCGGGGCTGAAAGTGTAAAGTTCTTTTCACTAATGCCTTGCCTCCTGGTAATTTTCAACTATAACATCATTTTTTTATTTTCCTGATACTTCACAAAAATTTTTGGAATCTGGTTCATTTAATACGGGAAAAAATAATTTATGAAAAAATGAAAACGACTTTTTAAAATTGAGGGTTGAATGTACATATACTCCGGTAATTTCCAATGATACCTTATAACAATTTTAATACACTACAATACCTTCAGTTACTTTAATAAGAAAGAAAAAAACTATCAAGAAATGAAAACGACGTCTAATAAGGGATAAATTGAAAATTAAATTAATTCATCAAAAAAAAAATGACGTTAAATTGGAAGTTAAAAGTGCGCCCCGGTGATTTCCAGCTATAAAATTCTTTTCACTGACACCTCACAACTTTAATACATTTTGGTACTTTCTGTTCGCTTAGTAAGGCATAACTTATTTATCAAGAAATAAACATTCGGCTCGTCTAGTAAGATAGAAATTAATGCATTTTGGTACCTTTAGCTAGTTTAATAAAGAAGACACTAACTTTAACTAATAAGAAAATGTAACAAAATAAATCCTACCTTTCCAATGAAGTGTAGATGATTTGGAAAAAATACTTCTGGGGAAACAATAACAAGATTGTCCAGTTCCATAGTCAACAATTCAAAAGACTGAGATAAAACTCCATAGGTGAATAGTTGGAAGTACTGAAACAATAATGATTTTATTTTACAATACGAAAAAAATGAGAAAAACTGTTATATAAATTCGTACTTTTCTTGTCTAAGGTATTGTTACGGCAGTTGCTCGTAAGGAATTTTCTTTTATAGGCAAATTATTGGGAATGTGAAAACAGAAAGGGTATTGTTAATAGTCTAAAATAAATTAAACTCGACCTTATAAATAATGTACGTACACGATATTGTGGTATTTGAGGTAATTAACACTTACTGGAATTAAATACTAAATATGTTTACGATGAACGAATTAGCAATACGGTTAAATAAAAAGAAATGAAATGAAGTAAAAATCAGTACAATATATTAAATCAAATCAAATACATAAAAGTGACGATAGCGACCTCATCTATTTACGGCGTAAGTAAGAAATTATTTTCATAGATTAACAGTATATTTCCTTAATTTATAAATTTTGTGGTTGTCATCTAACCAATGATCCATTATCTATGAACTGTTCCTTAATGTGTTAGGTTATGTGCATATTATATTATGGTTATACGGTCGGTTATACTTATACTAACCATAGCTCTAAAATTTACTGCACTTAGAAAAAATTCCTCTTCCTCTTCAGTCTAATTATCGTATTTAATATCTTCGTTTTAGTGTCCAAAAGTAATATTGAAATGTTTCAATGTAGTGATCTAATAACAACAGAATTTCCACAAATTGACGACGATTTAAAGCAGTACATTGAAGGTAACTAATTAGTCGCAAGTATGAACTGTTTAAACAATAAACAATATTTTAAGGTGTTTTAGAGAATGGTGCAGATGATTTTCAAGATAGTGAAGAAATATACGAAGCTATTGGAGAAGTGTTACAAGAAATTTCAATCGACAAAAGTGATATAGAAATTAGGTTGCATCTGATATAACAATATGTAGATGATTTGTTTCACTTATAGTAATTGTTATTTCAGAAATATATGTAAACAATTACTTAATTTATTAAAGCCAGAAAAGGATAGAGAAAAGAATGGTCCACATAAAATTTTAAATGCTCCTGTTCATTTGGGAAGCATGGCAGCAAACTTAGAGAGTAATGTAGATGATATAAAAAGTATCTGGGTAATGCAAAGAGATGATAGTTTAGTAAGTAATCAGTGTCTGCATTTATAAGAGCTTTGTATAACAATGTCTTTAGAAAGTGGATTCCAAAAAGTTAGAAAAAGCCCAACAAAAACTTCAGCAAAAGCAGGAAAAACGACAAAATGAAACTGTTAAAACTCCTATAGCACCAAAACTTGAAACAGCCACAGCTTCCCAGGTGACATTTATAATATCAATAACTATTAACATTTGTGAGTATTGAAATTTTAGATAACTAGTAAAAAGGAAACCAAACTGGAAGCAAAAGGAACTAATAAAACAAAAGATATACGAATAGAAAATTTTGATATAGCATATGGTGATAGGTATAAAAATTAATAGTTTGTTTATAAATACACTATGAATACATTTGTAGAGTACTTTTACAAGGAGCTGATATACTTTTGGCATTTGGAAGACGGTATGGCCTTATTGGGAGAAATGGGCTGGGTAAAACCACATTGTTGAGAATGATTTCTGGTGGTCAATTACACATTCCTTCCCATATTTCTATTTTATATGTAGAACAGGAGGTACAGCAAATATTTTAATCAATACAAATTATAAATATTAAACCATACATGAATTTATAGGTTGCAGGAGATAATACACCTGCATTGGAAAGTGTTTTAGAATGTGATAATGTAAGAGAAAGTTTACTTAAAAGGGAAAAGGAAATTAGTGCTACAATTAATGCAGGGTAAAAAATGTGAAAATGTTGATTTTTAATATTAATATTTTTTGACGATTTTTGTTTTTCTAAATTTATTTCTATTGTAAATAACTGCTTTAGATCAAATGATCCTCATCTATCCAACGAACTTTCTGAAATATATGTCCAACTACAAAATATAGAAGCAGATAAGGCACCATCAAGGGCTTCAGTTATTTTAAGTGGTTTAGGGTTCACACCCACAATGCAAAGTCAACCAACAAAAAATTTTTCTGGTGGGTGGAGAATGAGGCTTGCCTTGGCTCGAGCTCTGTTTTCAAGGTGTGCTTTTGAAATAAAAACAATTTAAATAAATTCTTTGATTTGTAGGCCAAAACGATATATTTTAACTGTTTTCCCTAATAAATACTCAAAATTTGGCTTCTTTAGTCCTATCAATTAATCTTATTTTCAGACCAGATTTACTTTTGCTGGATGAACCTACAAATATGTTGGATATAAAGGCAATAATATGGTTAGAAAATTATCTTCAAAATTGGCCCAATACACTGTTGGTTGTGTCACATGATCGCAATTTCTTGGACACTGTTCCAACAGACATATTGTATTTACATTCCCAGAGAATTGAAGCATACAGGGGAAATTATGAACAGTTTATGAAGACAAAAACTGAAAAGCACAAGAATCAACAACGAGAATATGAAGCGCAACAGCAACATAGGGAACATGTGCAACAGTTTATTGATAGATTTAGGTATAATGCCAATCGAGCTGCCTCTGTTCAGTCAAAAATAAAGATGTTGGAAAAATTGTAAGTAATAAACTATTTTAAATTTGTTTCATTTAGTTTCTCATTTCTATTTTTCAGACCTGAACTTAAGCCAATTGATAAGGAAGTCGATGTTGTTCTAAAATTTCCAGAAACAGAACCTCTTTCGCCGCCAATTCTACAAATTAATGACGTCTCTTTTGCCTATAGTCCCGAAAAAGTGATATTTCGTAGTGTCAATCTAGGGGCCACATTAGAGTCAAGAATTTGTATTGTAAGTTTGTACATTAATATCAATGGTCATTAGTCATCGTAATTGTTGATTAATAAATCCTATGTTCATTAAAAATATTTTTTATAGGTAGGTGATAACGGTGCCGGTAAAACAACACTCTTAAAATTGATAATGGGAATTTTAACTCCTACATCTGGAATAATTAATATGCACAGAAATCTCAAATTTGGCTACTTCAGTCAACATCATGTGGATCAGCTGGATATGAATGTAAATTCTGTTGAATTACTTCAATCAGCATATCCAGGTAAATGTTTAAATGGCAATTACATTATTATGTGGGTACACATATGTATGATTTTTAAACTTCTATTTGATTTTAAGGGAAACCAATTGAGGAATACAGAAGACAGTTAGGCAGTTTTGGTGTGTCTGGTGACTTGGCCTTACAAACAGTTGCAAGTTTATCAGGAGGCCAAAAATCTCGAGTAGCCTTTGCAAGAATGTGCATGGGTAATCCCAACTTTTTGGTTCTTGATGAACCCACCAATCATTTAGATATTGAAACTATAGAAGCTCTAGGGAAAGCTATTAACAAATACACAGTAAGAGAAAACTTTTTTTTAATTTTTAAGATTAACCTAGTTTAATAATGTTTGATTTTCTGTTATTTTCATTCCTAAATAATTCATTTAAAAATTCACACTAAATTAATACTTAGTGTTTGGTAAATGGCACTAATTTTTATATTTTATTACATTCTTTTTATTAACTGAATTTAACATAAAAATAGTAAATATTTGTGTTTCATTCAGTTTTATCTTATTCTAGGGGGGAGTGATATTAGTTTCTCACGATGAACGTCTTATTCGGATGGTATGTAAGGAGTTATGGTTTTGCTCCAGTGGTAATGTGCAAAGCATCGATAACTTTGATGAATATCGAAAGATTGTGGAAAGAGAATTAGAAGCCCAGACAAAATAGCCTTATCAATTTACTATTTATTGTATATAAGAAAGTAAATTTAAAAATGTGGAACCGTTGCCTTTTAATTTATCGAATCCGATAAGCATTTGTAAGAAAACAAAAAAATAAGCTAAGCTTACTTTTTAATTTTTAAATTATTAACATTTATTAGCAAACAAATACAAATCACATTTTTATTTAATTGAACGCCTTATTAAACGTTAATTGTTAGATTTAAAGCCCGGTGATGTCCCATATGAAAATTGGTTATTGAGTTTGTTGTTAGTTGTAGTATCAGTCAAAAAATCATCACAATCCATTTCTGTTTCTTGGTGTTCCTCTCTAACGTTTACAGAAGTTCTGTTATGTGTTTCTTCCATTATGTCGTTATACTCTAAGTAGAATGGTGCAATCTTTTTTTCTGATCTATAAAATTTTTTTTAATTTGTTTTTTAAATTTACTTAATATTTCAGTAATTTCATTTTACCTTTTCAATAAATATGGGTCAAAAGGATATAAAGAGTCAAGAACATTATTTGATGTGATAACGGCGCCTTTTTCATCCCTATATATCGTTGGGATTTTATTTCTTGAATTATGTTCAATTATTGAATAACAGTAAGCCAACTGATACTTTCTTGTAACAGCAGCAAAATTTTGCACAACAGCAGATTGGCAAACTCTTAAAGGATTTAATGGCGATGTTACCATTTTGGCTAAATTTAAACTTTGCACAAAAGTTAAACCTGCAAATTAAATGTTAAAGCACTTAGTTACACTTGGTATATAATAAATGGCTAATATTTTATTTATAATTAACACATATGCATGTGTGTATACATATTTATATGAAGCAGAAAAAAATATTTACGTAAATCTATAGAATGTATACTTACAGGAACACAAACACTACACTTAAAAAAAGTGTATATTTAATTCATATACAAACGTATATGCAAAAAAATACGAAATAACACATATTGTCACACATGCAAACACAACACATTACAATTCATACAAATGGGGATTGAAAACATACTGTAACAATTGTTTATAAAGCAGCAATTATAATAGCACTGCAAATATACAAAAAGTAAATGCAGATGCATAGAAATAAATAATATTCCTTGTAAATGATGCAATAGCGTATTTTACGGCAATGAAGTTATTCGGTAATGGTAACAGGGAAGGAGTACGATGTTAAATTTAATAATACCACTAATAAACTATATTATAAAGTACTAAATTATTTTTTTAAACATAATACATTTTCATTGAAAATGTGACTGAATAGTGAAACGTAACAGAGCAAATATTTGCTGGTACGAAATGGAATTTGCTTATACTGTAGACACTGTTACACTGTGCGTTGATCATTACTTAGTCAGTCAGTCAGTCAATCAATTAGTTAGTTAGGACATGCTCTATTGGATATAGGAAGATTGTTCTTTTTAAATTTAATTAATTTCACTCACCCTTTTTGGAATTCAGGAGGTCTTTATGTCGAAAGGCGATGACATAAAAGATAGCTTGACACACGCTGTAAAACACAGTGTGAACTCGAACGTCAGCATTTATGCAATCTATACCATCTTGAGCAGCTATGTATGAATGAACCCATCCTGCCATTTGTTGTAGTGTCCCTTTTAACATTCTGAAAATAATAAAACAGATTTACTGTAAAATTTAAAATAATAAAGTGTTCTAGAGTATGTAATACATGTTTCAACTACTTCAATTTGTTAAATCTTAAATACTTCTTAAGAAATATAAAAATAAAAATACAATCTATAAAAACTATTCTTTTTGCAAGAAATAATATGTGGTTGTGTACTCATCTACTGATACCTACTGCTAACTGAAGTCATTTCAGTCACCAGAAAATATATGCAGAACAATGTTATTATATGAGAAAGTAACTCTTAGCACACTGACTAGAGCTGAAAATGGGATGTCCCAATGTAGATTGTGATTTTTTGATCAATAAAGCTTATGCCGTACAAATATAACATTTCTGGAAGTTAAAAACCCGAAAATTCTCCTCTCCTTTTTTATAATTTGATACTGTTATTATTATATATAGAGGAAATAATTGGTATTCTACTATCATACTTTCAGTTCTAGTAAAGTTTATGGGTACCTATTCTTTCTTTGAAGTCTGATTGATTTCGACAGCTGTTATCAAAAAAGTTGTATAACAAATGTAAGAAGTAAATTATTTAACTGTGTTTGATATCCAGTTTACACTTGACGTTTGTTTTTGTTTATTCAGGTTTAGATAATTTGAATAAAAAATAAAACGAAATTATGATTAACTAACATTTAAGTAACAGTTGCATCATTATACAAAATTAGTTTGTTTCAGTTACTTTTTAATAAAATAAATATACTAGTGAAACTTACCCAAGAGCTATATAGTTGGCTCTCGCTAAGAAACTTCCGATATAAGCAGCAGCTGTTTGCCGATGTACTGGAGCAATGCAAGCCGATGACACTTTACCCCAAAGAAAGTTCAGAAAAGCCTCTGAAACAGATGGCTTCAGGCTGCATAGAAAGAAGATGATGAACTGTACGTGGTGGGTGTTATACGTAGGGAATATCACTTTATCAAAGCTTGAAATAATGTCGTGATAAAGGCCTGCAAGTAACAATTACAATTAAAAGAATACTTTCTATTTAGTTAAAAAAAAAACTCCCAAATGTAAGTTTTGTAAAATTTTAAAGTAATGTAATAAACAAATGCCCATTCAATTTTAAATTTTAAACAAATTTTATAAACAAAATCACAATGAATCTTTGAAAAACATTAAAATGATAAAAAAGTGGGCAGAATGGTAAAAAAAACTAGAGGGCTCTTACTATACACATATGGTGAGAGAACTTTAAATTACCTTTTAGTTTTTCCCAATTTAATTCACCAGTGTCTGTATTGTATACTTCAATGTAACAGAAGTTGAACATTTTATCCATGCAAATATCTAGGGTATGTGCCAATGGATGTTTCACTTTGTTTTCAAGGTTTTGTTGGTAAACGGATTTATCATCATCAAAATTAAAAATACAGTCTTCAAGTCCCATATCCTGTTCATGTTTTTCAATTTCTTCCCTGGGAGAATGAACATCTAATAAAACTAATCTAAAATGTGGAAATATTGTTGAAAGAACATAAACTAAATGATTACTGTTTATTTACACTGCAATTTTAAAAACATACCTTGAAAATATTAATTTCAGCAAATCTCTTCTAAGGTCAGGTTGGTATTCTAGTATCCATAATAAATTATGTAGGTAATATTCATGTATGTGAGATGATTTTCGTAAATATGGGTAGCTACTGATAACTGCTTGTAGTAGTAACTCCTTACACCTGTAAGTAATATAATAAAAGCTTTTTTGGAACCGTTATTAGAGAACTGCAGTAACAAATAACTGTATGTATGCACTAAGTCTAAAGGAGTATTTATATTTTTGAAAACATTTACATTTAAACAAATAAAAACTCAATAAAAAGCTATCAATTTTGTAACGAATAAGTTTAATTAATTACTACTTGTATTCAATGTATTATTACTGAAAAAAAAAAAAAACATTAATTTAATAATTGACCCACAAAAAGAACTAAACATAAACATTACCTGTGCATATTTCATAAACACAAGTATCTTTAAAAAAATATATATGTAGTAGATAGAAACTTACATTGGGACTACCTTCAAAACTATGCTGATAACAAAGTGAACATTAATGCATTTATTACAGTCTGCATCATTAGGTACTCCATCTGGCCACTCATCTGTTTCTGTTTCTATGACAAAAATAAAAATTTAAATATTAAAATAGCTTCATTATTTGTCAAATGCAACACAACTGGCTGAACTACATTGAAGATTTCATCTTGCATACAATAAGTTTAATGAAGCTAATGTTGAACAGATTGTACTTTAAATCTCACCTGGATAAAATTTTTTTACTAAACGATCTATCACTAATTTAGCATGGTAATTATGAGCAGAAAGTAGATTTATAAGAAAAGACTGATATTCTGCTATCACATCTTCACGATAACTTAACCAATCAACTGTTAAGATTGCCTCTATAAATAAAGATAGGTCTTGATCTAGTAATGAAATACACTGTGTTGCTTCATTTAAAAGTAGCCTAATGTCTTCATCAAGTAATTCCGAGTCGCGAATAAGACACAATAAGTTTTCATAGTCCTTTACTTCCTTTTTCCTCACGTAATCAATAATGATTTTTCGCACATTTTTAGTATGGTGAAGTTGAAATCTCACTTTTGTTGGTTTGGTACTATTTAAAACACTTCTAATACTCGTGCTTTTCCTGGAAGAGACTGACAATCTCGTTGAACTTGATATAACAGACATTTCACATTTCTTGCAGGTTAAGTTTAATGTTTTTTGTTCACTTTTATTATTCTTTTATTATATATGACCTATGAGCTGCCACTATTAAGTTTTTATCGTTCATTTAATAAAAGTTATTGTTTTAGTTGAAATGGAAGTAATTTGTAGTGTAACACACGTGGATTTTCTACACACCATGATGAATAGCTCATAGATAAGAACAGCCATAGAGCCATAGGACTGCATAGGACTATACCATGATTATGCGCACATTATATGAATAACCATAGAGATATGAATAGCATATGAACCATTGATAAGGAATATGAACCATAGATTAATTAAACATTTAGATATAAACTGGCATCTGATATAAATAATCTTCTGATTTAAACTTTAAGAATAAATTGTGCATAATTGTGGGTCTATCAATTTTTCATCGATATTATTAATACGTGTGGTAAAATTTGAATCAACAGATTATTTATATCGGGTGCCAAATTCACACAATTTAGATGTGACAGTTGGCATAGATCAGATCATATAAGACGATTACACGGACATTATTCGTATTGTATGTGGCAACATCTTAGTTCCAATAATTCCGACATAAAAGTATGTCAGCACTTACTTATTCTCTAAACTATGGTCTACGTCTTATCTATGGTCCACACAAAATTTAGAACAATGGGTGTGTTCAGTCAAACTAAGTACTTAGCAAATTTAAAAGTTAGTCAGAGTAATTAAAATGTTGTTCTGAGAGTCTGAGCGCTGTGGAGTTCTGCCTGAACACACTTACTTGTTGTAGTGTCCCTTTTAACATTCTGAAAATAATAAAACAGATTTACTGTAAAATTTAAAATAATAAAGTGTTCTAGAGTATGTAATACATGTTTCAACTACTTCAATTTGTTAAATCTTAAATACTTCTTAAGAAATATAAAAATAAAAATACAATCNACTAAGTACTTAGCAAATTTAAAAGTTAGTCAGAGTAATTAAAATGTTGTTCTGAGAGTCTGAGCGCTGTGGAGTTCTGCCTGAACACACTTACTATCTTTTGTTTAGACTATTTAGTTAGAATGTTCACAATTTCTCCATAACGGCTTCCCTCTATAATATTTTGAAATGATACTAGAAAAGAAATATATTTGTTTAAGTATGTAATAACTTGATAAGATAGCAAATAACTTAATAATGGCAAGACATACTACGTATGTCGGAATTATCGGAACTACTACTACACATATAACTCCATAGGAATACGTTAACAATTTATAATTTTTCACGTATTGAAAATTCAGTTTAATTAACTTAATTGTTTAAATAAACATTTGGTTTTTGTTTCCCAAATCTATTATTAACACTGCTCTTACATTTGTGTTTGGGTAGCTTGACCATTTTCAAAGAGACTTACACTAATACGGAATGTTTATTCTGAAATCTATTTCTCAGTTGACAGAAATCAATTGAAACAAAAAGCAAGTGTTTATTTATTTATTCGTCTATTTATAAATATGTTTCACATATATAGTGTCCAGTAAAATTTCATTAAAACTGCTTTAGGTTTTAAAGAAACACATTTGGAGTAATGGTCTTCCATATTAAAGGTCGTTCTCGTTTAAACCACTATTTATGCAAATATATTGTACAATATTGCCACCTATAATAAAGTTTTTGAAATTTAATTGCTGTAATTTGTTAATGAAAACTGTATCATAACATTAGAACAGAACTCTGAAAGCTGATATTATAAAACATCAGAAAGTTAACTGCTTTTTAAATTATGAATATCTCTTATCCCAAAGTCCACTATTCGTAGAATTCTTATCTGAGAATTTGTTATTGTCCGCCTATTAATTCATTTTTCGTTCTATTTTTACTACATCAGTTCTCATCTTTGATTGAGAAGTGAAAGTTCTAACAATAATTTTTTTTTACAAATTAATAAGGTTACGTTTGGGGTGCAGTTATGGCTGATAAAAATCGGTAAATAAATTCAGTTTTTTTGTTCTTTTAAAATGTGTAAGCCTTTACTTTATTTAGGTTGCTATCAACGCATTTAAAGGCGGAAAAATCGTTGCTAGTTGATGGCTATGATTGTTTAATACTAGTTTATTGGTCTAATCAAACTTTAAAAGAGGATTTTTTACGCGAAGCTGTTGATACTCTATTGCAAATAGATCCTAGCTTAAAAACAGAGATTGCAATTCATGTACTACCATCAGTTCCTGCCGGTCGATTGGTTTTTGCACCTACTGGCCCTTTGGACGAAGACTATGATGACGTTCGTTCTTTTGGCGAAACTGCAGCAAAAGGAATTCGAAGAGCAATCAAAGCCAGATTTAGAAGGCCTTTACTGTATTTACAAAAACATCCGACTTTTAAAAATGCTGAATTGGTCAGTATTTTAGGAGCGTTAGAATCTACTTACGTGGTAAGTATGCTTACGGTTAGAAGCAAAACATTAGGTAACGTAACGAGTCGTAAGATGGCAGGACCAGTCTCTATGCGCTGCAATAAAAGAGAAATTAAAAAAATAGAACCGTTTTATTAAAAGAATTTAGATTGCTTGTAGGTATAAATAAATTAAATTAAATTATTATTTTCTCAATTTCTT